TTAGATACGATTATAGCGCTAATTTATACAGGTCGAACGGAACTCAAGACTTACGGACCAATGGCGCATTTGTTGACTCCAAGACGCCGCTATGTAGTTTCTTCGTTGGCAGGACATCACCCTTAAATTTTCTCGGTTTTGAGTTTTTGGGTTGAAATTTTGGAAATAGGTGTGGAAAAGCAGAGCGCCCTGGACGAGCAGGAGCATGACCATGACCAGGATGCTAGGTTCGGATAGGTTTTTATTAGTGTCCAAGCGGTGTGTGAGGCGACGAGAAAAGAAGAACACTTACAGCTCGATGTTGGTGAGCCGGGACGACTCCTCGATTGGGGGGCGATTGCACTTTATGAGGAGCGGCCTTTTTCTTCAGCCTGGCTTTTTTGTGAGGCGTTGGCGCTGCTTGATGAGGCTTATCACACATATCACCTCCGGACTTTGGGCGCTGCGGCTTTTTCGGGGGCTGCGACTTCTTCGACGGCTGCGACTTCTTCGGGAGCTTGCCGGCTCCCGGTATGGTCTTCCATACCAACGAGATGTTAGCATTTTTCATTTCAGTTTTACGTGACAACAGGGTCGCGTCTAAGGTAGTAAGTACATGGGACGACATCAAAGCGGGGATAGAGGGTAAACATGGGCGCTTTGACGTGGGAGGAAACCACTCACCGGAGGTGTGTCAAAGGAGGGTTGTGGAGCATGGAAACTCTTGGTTAATAGGGAGGTCGTTATGTCACCAGACTGGGAAATCGAGGGAGTTGATGATTCTGACTCCGCAGGGACGGTCGTGAGAGAACGACGGGAGGATGGAGCTATGTGATGGAAACGGCCAACACCGACAACTAGGCAAGATAGGCAGATAAAACCACGCCCGGGCTGTGTAGAATGCCGGAGCGATCTGTTCAGCATCGTAGCGGTTGCTCGCTGACGAGGGACCAAGAGCAGGTCCGCAGGGTGGTGGTGAAAATGGATGGGAAACCCTTCACTTGGAATACAGGAGGGACAGGCGAAAGCAGTCGATTAAAAACGCAAACAAGACGTGGAAGGGGGGAAAAAAGAGATGAACAAAAAGAGAGATGAACCGTAGAACAGAAAGAATGGAAAAGCGACTTTCTTGTGACGCCCGAGAAAGGGCAGCTGAACCTTTATATAAAGGAGGTTCCACTACGCATAACTCGGGGGTTTGAGGTTTGACTTAATCTCCCCCCTCCCAAAAAAAAAAAAAAAAAAAAAAAAAAAAAAATCCGAGTAATCAGTCCCGTTGAGGGCTAGCCTGTTGTGGCTAGCGTGCAGAGAGTCAACGTTAAGCCCATACAAAATAGTTACATCGTCATCCGACACCTTTTTGATCTCATCTCAGTCCTTCAAGGTCATTAAATTATTCAATATGGCAATCGCTTTCAGCAGAGAAGCTTCTAATCAAGAAGCTGAACTTTTATTAGCTATTAAAGCCTATAAAATGAATCAAATTTCAACTCTTAGAGCTGCTGCTAAGTCATATCGTGTCCTACTTCTTTCTATGTTATAGACTATACAGAGGCACCGCACATTCAAATCCTCAATTTAACAATTGAAAGCTGACCTCTACAGAAGAAGAATCTCTAGTTCGATGGATAATATTCATGAATGAGAGAGGACAGTCTTCTTGAATTGTGATTGTACAAGATATGATCAATTTACTACTTTCAACATGAGAATCTACTACCACAACTACGGTGAGAGAAAGATGAGTGAGGAGATTTATCAAATGACACTCTGAACTGAAGACTAGATTCTCATGCAAGTAACCATGAGTGAGCTTTATGTGAGATTTTAAAGCTCTTACATGAATGGTTACATTAGTGAATAATACTATAGAGGGGTATGAAATTGTGCTGAAGAATATATACAACTTCGGTGGGATTTAGCTTTCCAATAAATGTTATTACAATGGCCTGAGTGATCACTAGAGCTGAGAAAGAGGATGATTCATCTCTTGTACTGTCAGAAAATAGAGAATGAGCAATTGCGATTGAGACAGTCAATGCTATAAGCTGAAGTCTATCTTCTATGATTATACTGAAGAGCAAGCTTCATCAATTCTTATGATACAAACAACTGTCAGCAGATCATCAATTCTTATGATACAAGCAACTGCCAGCAGATTAAACAATTGATCTTAGCAAAATGAGTTGAACTACAGACGAGCTTGACTTAATATGACTGTGAGGTATTCAATAGATGCACTGAGACTCATACAGCTGGCAGATATAAACTGCTAACTATAAATAAATATGACAATTATACTACAACGGAATTTGACAAGTTTTTCTGAATCATCATATTGTAGTATTTTATGTGCTTCTTGATTTTCTCTCATCTACTGCAGTCACTAGATGTGAGCTGTTTTTCATCACTAGAGAGAGTGTAAGGCAAGAAGATTGAGCAGAACAGGAGATTTGAGATCAATCATATTGATCAAGATGAATTTCTAATTAGCTATATAGTAGCTAGATAGAAAGACTATGAAGAATACTACTATAAGAAACAGATTCAAAGTCACAGGCTTGATTTCATTCAATTCAGATGAAGTTTCTTACTCAACGACATACTTAAATTTCATACTTCTACCCTCATAAAAGTCAGCTTATAGATCTTATAAATCTTAATTCTTCCGGACCCTCAAGACCCTCTGCTATGTAACTCTATTGAAATGTCAGAGCAGCAAGATTAAATGCTGTACAGATGTTCTTTCTCAAACTCTCAATCAGCTAGCTAAAGGATTTCAGCTGGCCATGTATAAGGTTGCTCTTTAACAAAGGAAGCCAAGCAGCTGAGAGCTGCCAACTCTAGACAGAAACAAAAGAGAGAGAAGCCATGTATGTATATAGCTGAGGAAGGGATTCTAACAGCTGAAGAAGGACAGCCTAGGATTGTTCAAGCTCAGGAACCTGATCAGCCCGCTGAGGGGAAGGTTGAGGATTCAAATCCGAGAAAAAGCGAGCACCACCACGTTGTAGTAAATGTGGCAGTATGAAATACAAAGCCCCTAGCTGCTCACAGACCTAAGGATATATTCTATATAATTTCTATATAATTCCCAGTGGTTGTTGCTTAATCTGAAAATTTGTCAAATAATACGGTGGGGGTTGATCAAATAGGCGTCGGATTACGTTACCTAGTCATTTCAGCGGCAAAAAAATATAGGAAGAAGAGCGCTTTTCCAACTACTTTATCAATTGCAATAACCAAAGCACCCAGAGGACACTTCTCAATTATCTAGCATACCCCGCTGTAATTTCTGCTATAACTATCCAAGGCAATAATCCATATTTTTGGTTCCTGGAGGTGGTGGCAACTACTTTAGCTCACTAACTACCCGCCGGGAAAAAAGTTTCCCAGTCTCCGGCGCAAAAATGGCCCTGCCAGAAAAGCTCAGCGCAAAGAAAGAGTAAAAAACAAGTCAAAAAAAATACATGCCGTGATACATCCGCAATTCCTCCTAGATTGCAGCACCAGGTCCAAATTGTGCGTAAGATCCCCTTTTCTATCCATGTCCTCCCTATCTTGAACGCCTTTAGTAATATTTCATTGCGCCATCTACTGTCAATGCGTCCCAATGCTCAGTCCAATCCCCACCTCCCCCTCCTCCCCTTCCTCCCCACCTTGATTGATATGGCCCCTCGAAGATCAATTTATTAGTATAAATTGATGCCGGCCCAGAGATATACCACCACCATCAGTCGAGTTGCTGGAAGATATATATATTGCTGGAGTACTTGTATCTTTCTTGCGTGGACTTTTCGGCATTACTTTGTTCATCTTCTGCGCTTGGTTTGCGGAGTTGCTCTCTAGCTTCTCACTGGAGAGATTCAAATATGAACAAAATCCCCCTGACCTTCAGCTTGAAATGCAAATGCTCTCTGATTTCTATTTACCTATCTGCTTGCTTTCCTCTATTGCAAATTGGTTTGAATATGTCATTGTTACACATGTAACAATTAAAATTACACTGGATCTGTATCCGCTGCACATCTGCCACTGACGCATCTCTTTCTAACTTCGAATCCCTATAGTTCAAGGGCGGGGAAATCACCATGCTCCAGGAAAGCCTGCGCGTCCTTGTTGTTGGCAGTGGAGGCCGGGAGCATGCATTTGCGTGGAAACTCAGCCACTCGCCGATCGTCGATATCGTCTATGTGGCCCCTGGGAACGGGGGAACCGCAGCAGGAGACTCCAAAATAACCAACGTCGATATTAAGGCTGATGACTACTCCGGGTTGGTAGCGTTTTCCCAAAAGAACAATATTAATCTTGTTGTTCCTGGTCCTGAAGCCCCGCTGGTGGACGGCATTCTGAAATTCTTCCAATCAGGTCAGTTCTGCTGCTTTTACTATGCGTAAATAAACCCCAAGCGAAAGTGAGAAAAAGAAAGTAATAAAATTAAAAAAAAAAAAAAAAAGAATTATAATTAAACCTGAAAATAACGATATTTCGCAGTTGGAATAAGATGTTTTGGTCCCTCGCAAGCAGCTGCGCGCATGGAAGGCTCAAAAACATTTTCCAAAGACTTCATGAAACGCCACAATATCCCAACCGCTGCCTACGAAAACTTCAGTGACTATGCAGAAGCAAGTAAATATCTAGACTCTGTCAATCATGATGTCGTCATCAAAGCTAGTGGCCTTGCTGCAGGAAAAGGTGTCATCATCCCCCAATCCAAAGAGGAGGCTCACAAGGCCCTGAGGGAAATCATGCTTGAGCGCCAGTTCGGAGAAGCCGGAGATGAGGTCGTGATCGAAGAATACCTCGAGGGAGACGAGTTAAGTATTCTGACATTCTCCGATGGATATACCGTCAGGTCACTCCCACCGGCTCAAGACCACAAGCGGATCTTCGACGGAGATCGGGGTCCTAACACGGGAGGAATGGGATGCTACGCCCCTACGCGCATTGCGTCAAAGGATGTTCTGGAAGAGATTGACAGGACTATAGTTCTCCCTAGCATTAACGGAATGAGGAGAGAAGGTAATTATCCCCACTTATTCACTTAACTTCAAAGGGATAGCTACTAACGACACCCCTGCTAGGCTTCCCATTTGTTGGAATTCTGTTTACTGGGCTCATGATGACCAAGGACGGACCCAAGGTCCTTGAATATAACGTCCGTGGCGGCGATCCCGAAACACAGACACTTCTGCCTCTCCTCAGTGATGACACTGACCTTGCTGAGGTGATGGTTGCTTGCACAGACCACTGGCTCGATGGTGTCACTATCAAAGTTGAACCAAAGTTCTCTGCCACCGTCATTGCCGTCGCCGAGGGTTACCCAGGTCCCTACGCAAAGGGGAGAGATATCACACTGGACGCACACACTGCAGATATCCTAATTTTCCACGCGGGCACCACGTTAACAAACAACCAACTTAAAACCTCCGGCGGCCGCGTTATCGCCGCGACCTCAACCGCCCCAACACTAGAAGAAGCAGTCAAGAATGCCTACAGAGGCATCTCCACAATCCACTTCCAAGGCATGCACTATCGCAAGGACATCGCGCACCGCGCCTTCAAATCTACCACCACCACGAAAACCTCCCCATCTTCCACCCCCGCCAAACCACTCACCTACGCCGCAGCCGGCGTCTCCATCGACGCAGGCAACGACCTGGTAAAACGAATAAAAGCCAACGTCGCCCAAACCTGCCGCCCAGGAACCGACGCCATAATCGGCGGCTTCGGCGGCACCTTCTCCCTCTCAACATGCAACTCAGGCTTCCACCCCTCCTCACCCACGCTAATCGGCGCCATCGACGGCGTGGGTACAAAACTCGTCATCGCCCACGAAATGGGCATTCACAACACCGTCGGCATCGACCTGGTCGCCATGAACGTCAACGACCTTGTCGTCCAGGGCGCCGAGCCCCTCTTCTTCCTCGACTGCTACAGCTGCGGCAAGCTCGACGTGGTGACGGCTGCCGCATTCGTTTCTGGCGTTGCTGCTGGCTGCGTAGATGCTGGCTGCGCACTGGTTGGTGGTGAAACGGCCGAAATGCCGGGCTTATACGCTGGCACGACATATGATGCCGTTGGCGCTGCGGTGGGCGCAATCGACACCTCGTCCCGTGCAATCCTGCCAGACCTGGACAAGATGCAGGTCGGCGATGTGCTGCTGGGGCTTGCTAGCAGCGGTCCGCACTCCAACGGGTACTCCCTGGTGCGCAAGATTGTCGAGCGGTCCGGACTGTCATACCATGACGCAGCACCCTTCGAGACAACAGCACCGTCTTTGGGCGCTGCGCTGCTGACGCCAACACGGATTTATGTTAAGCCACTCCTGGCCGCACTTGGATCGGTGCATGGTGCTATCAAGGGTCTCGCGCATATTACTGGTGGCGGACTCGTGGAGAATATTCCCCGTGTGCTGCCGAAGCATTTATCAGCGCTTGTTGATGTGTCATCGTGGCCTCTGCCGCCGGTATTTAGGTGGCTGAAGAAGACTGGTGGTGTTACTGGGGCCGAAATGGGTCGGGCGTTTAATAACGGGGTTGGGATGATTGTTGTTGTTGGGAAAGGGGATGTAGAGAAGGTGAAGGGTCTTTTGGAGCAGAAGGGGGAGAAGGTGTTTGTGGTTGGGGAGTTGGCGGCGCGCGGAGACGATGGGGGCTGTGTTTTGAAGAATTTGGAGAGCTGGGAGGAGTAGGCACACACTGGTGGGTAACATTATTCAGGATGAGGTGGGCGTGGGCTAGGTTACCCGCTTGATTTATGAGTTTTCAGGCCGATGGTCTTGGAAGTCCTTGTGGATGCGATAGATGCTGTATATATTTTGGAAAGCAAAGAAAATGGCTGAAGCAGCATGTATTTGGGCACATATAACCAACCCCAAGGCCCATCAATATATATCGAGGTCTAAATCGCAATTTATCTCAAAACATCCCACAACAAATCAGGCAAAATTCCAGTCATCACCTTTCGACCGACAAGGTCCGCATTTCTGTGGTAGTCCTCCTTGATAGAGCCGAGGATCACAACGAGGAGACCCTGAACATTCCCCTTCGACTTCCTACGCCAAACACCCACACAGGAGGAAATGACGCGAATAGATCCTGCACATAGTTTGCCTAGCCAGAATAAAAACTAGAATGGTGAATTCGCTCCTGACTCTGGCGCTGAGGATCGGAGACGACGAGATGCAATAACCAGCAAGAGCGGAAATACAAACACAGGGCTTCCGACCTTTTTAACTATATTCATTCCAAGTATTCCATCTTCGATCAGTCACCGGTCGTGTTGTGATTGCCTCGTGAGATTGGAAGTAATGACGACGATAGGGGGGCGTGGAGCGTACTTCGCGGGTAACGAAGTTTAACAAATTTATCCCGCTTCAGGGAGTAGATAGATGATGGATGGGATCATGCCACAACCATTGGCTGGCTAAATCCTTCCGAGGCGGCATAGCTATCCCTACCCTAGGAGGTTTCTAGAACAGCCAGATCTGCATGCAGTCTGACACAGGTCGAATGATTGGATATTCGGCAGCTTTCAATACATCAAGGGGAAGCGAGAAATAACGGGGGCAAGATAAGGTACTACCCGCTATTTATACCTACTGACAGAAGACCTCCCTCTGTCGGTCCAGGCATCGTTTCGTCTCTATCCAGCTTGGTCATTCCATCTAACAAGGACCGCAGCGAACCTTGCCCCAGAATCTCAACTGGAAACCCCCAAATTAAATAAACGACACCATGGATGATACCCTGCGGTCCACAGAGCCTCCCGATTACATTGAATGGAGGAAAAACTCCTATACACGGATCATCACGCCGCAATCACGACGGCCAATGCGCCAGGGAAAGATTATCCATGTCTGCTCTTTATGGTCGATACGGAAATGCGACTGTCCTGGCCCGATTTTGTTCCCCGGGCAAATGTTCTCTTTGCCTGGGACGAAGGCGAGGGCGTCTGGGTTCTCGAGCCTACGGAGGACGACTGTGAAAACCTCAAAGAGTTTCTCAAGAGAGATTTCATGCACTGGCATGAAGCTCTGGAGAAATGCGGAGCTGTTCATTTCAGCCATTGTAAAAACTTTTATATCCTGGCTGTGTTTTTGTTTAGGTTACAACAACACATGCTAACAAATGAAAAATGTTACCTGTAGGGCAGGACAATTTTTGGAGCAGAACTGCCAATGAGAAGACATACGGCACTGCTGACTGGAAGCCATTCTACTGGGCGAAAGAATTTCCCACAGATGAGCCAGGAGCCCAATATGGGATATCTAGGAAAGAGGCGGACTCGAATACATCAATCGGCTTCCAGCAGAAGCTGTAATGTCGGTAGTTGACGATCGACTCTCACCATTGCTGTTACCAATGAATATTACATTTATATTCCGCCTTTGTCGAGTTTTGATCTCTTCGTATTCCCCTCTTGTCCTTGAATGATAACCGGGTTCCTACGCGTTTTTCAGGCGCTTTTAATATATGTGCCTCTAGATAACTTAGCCTCTCTGTGTCTCTGCATATGTAAGGTGAGTCCAACGGTAAGATACTTCGGAACAAGAAGAGAGAAAGAAAGAGAGTTTCGTTTCTAGACGCAGGAAGGGTTTAGATATTCCTTTTTGACAGAAGAAAGAGTGGAATGGCGATGCTTTGCATTGATGAAATGGAAGAGTTTAATTTCATGCAGGTGGAAGAATCTTAACATCAGACTGGGTGGGATGTTTCATGATCCCTGAATTTGAGAAAAGCAGCATAAAAGAGAGAGAAAGATAGGACTTGAAACGAAATCGTCCAGTGTATCAAGCATTTCTTCTCAGACCCAAACTCAATTTGAAGGAGAAGGCATTTAGTTAATCTTCCTACCCAACGTTGAAGAGACGGATAGAGTTCAACGTTTCGGCAATCAGTAATCTGCCTTCAGTCACGTCCCCTTCCTGACGAGATTACCTTTCATTGAACGCTATCTGATCGCAGTAGCAGTCGGAGGCTGTCACCTTGCGGGTGGAATCGGCTGAGCTGGTAGATATCCGCAGTGTAGAGGTGTAAGAAGAAGAAGAAGAAGAAGAAGAAGAAGAAGACTCAACATTCATTAATAGTTCAGCCGCCTTTCCGATGATCATAAGAACATATACATATTCAAAAGACGAACTGTTTGCGAGGTTGACTATTCAGCTATGTATACATACTTACACTGGTGGGTCCGCTTGACATATAGGGAATGATCGGAGATACGCCTTTTTTCCATCATATGCTCATCTCATACAATCCAGGGAACAGACGCAGTCCTTCCCTATTCAATGTCCGCAGATGCAGATGCAGACGTAGATGCAGCTGTGTTAGCTGAAGCTTGTCGTTAGCAATCTACCATCCATCCCTCTTCGCCGTCATACGTTCTTGTCTTGTCTTTTTCTTTTTCTTTTCTTCTTTCCTGTCGTGTCCCCTCACTCTCATGCGGTGACCGTCTCATCTTGACGCATGGCGAATATGAAAAAGACTTGTGTCAAGCGATGTGAAAGGGAGCAAGAGTAGAAAAGCAGTCAAGCGGGAAAAAAATATCATTCTTTTTTTTTTTTTCTTTCTCTTTTTATGGGGGTTCTAGAACGAATTCTGCTTTGGTGCTATTAAGATGGACGAAGGGGGAGACGAAAAAGACGAATCGGTTCGTCACAAGCACAAGTACAAGCAACAGCAAGGGGGTTCTTATTGTTCGCGTTTGAAAGGGAGCGAGGGCTTTTTGTAGCAAGCAGGACATGACGGGGTAGAACTCAACACACGAGAGGGGAAAAGGGTCTCTATGCACACCAAGTTTTACCCGACGCAGAAGCCACGACGAGGGGGGAAGCGAATAACAAAGAAGTGAAAACAAAAATAGAGAAAAATAGAGCTTAAAACCCGTTAATTTTTTAAGTTCAATTACAAAAAAAAAAAAAAAAAAAAAAAAAAGGCAAAGAGAAACGCACGACGCACACGACGGACATTCCCCCTCCCCCTCCATATCTAAACCCATCCACATATCACTACCAACCACCTTACCACTCACACGCACAACCCAATCCAAACCAATCCCTCGAACACACAAAAATAGGATTAAAAACTTCACCACATGAACCCCCAGCCTTCCATAATCCCTCTCCTCATCCCTATCCCCTTAGAAGCACTTGCGATGGACAATAGAGGGTCCAGACTCGTCGTACTCCTGCTTCGAAATCCACATCTGCTGGAAGGTCGAGAGGGAAGCGAGGATGGAACCACCGATCCAGACGGAGTATTTACGCTCCGGGGGGGCGATAATCTTCACCTTCATGGACGAAGGGGCGAGGGCGGTGATCTCCTTTTGCATACGATCGGAGATACCGGGGTACATGGTTGTGCCACCGGACTATGGATTGTGTTAGAATTAATGTATTTGCATTGTGTTAGGAGGGGGGGAAAAATAAAATGAACTTACCATAACGATGTTGCCATAGAGATCCTTTCGGACGTCGACGTCGCACTTCATGATGGCATTGTAGGTGGTGGCATGGATACCGCCGCTTTCAAGACCCAACACGCTGGGCTGGAAGAGGGCCTCTGGCGCGCGGAATCGCTCGTTGCCAATGGTGATGACCTGTCCATCGGGCAGTTCGTAGGACTTCTCCAGAGTGGACGATTGGGACGCGGTCTGGATCTCCTGTTGGAAGTCGAGGGCAACATAGCAGAGCTTCTCCTTGATGTCGCGGACAATTTCGCGCTCAGCAGTCGTGGAGAAGGAGTAGCCACGCTCCGCTAGGATCTTCATGAGATAATTGGTCAGGTCACGGCCAGCCATATCGATACGAGAAATAGCGTGTGGGAGCGCGAAACCCTCATAGATGGGGACAACGTGGGTGACGCCGTCGCCGGAGTCGAGGACGATACCGGTGGTACGGCCGGAGGCGTAGAGAGAGAGGACAGCCTGGATGGAGACGTAGAAGGCGGGAGCGTTGAAAGTTTCGAAGACGATCTGAGTCATCTTCTCACGGTTGGATTTGGGGTTGATTGGGGCCTCAGTCAACAGAACGGGATGTTCCTCTGGGGCGACACGAAGTTCATTGTAGAAGGTGTGATGCCAGATCTTCTCCATATCATCCCAGTTCGTGACGACGCCGTGCTCGATGGGGTATCGGAGGGTGAGGATACCACGCTTGGATTGTGCTTCATCACCAACATAGGAGTCCTTCTGGCCCATACCAATCATAATACTACGATGGAGTTAGTTGGTAACCTTGGCGGAAGATTTGTTGTTGGGTGGAGGGTTAGAAGATGTATATTTATTTACCCATGATGGCGAGGACGGCCGACGATCGAAGCTGTCTCATGTTAGCAAATACCAATTGTTTATCAAAAACAGACAGACGATAGTCCTTCACTAGGTAGGGGAAGACTTACGGAAGACAGCTCGAGGAGCATCATCACCAGCAAAACCGGCCTTACACATACCGGATCTGTATGTCAACAAGTGTCAGCAATCACATAACTCCATATGTTTTGGTTGAGGACACCGCAATTCAACATGTTGCCCTGTGTGCACGCACGCTGAGCGAACATATCAAACACATGTGCAGCGAGATGGCTAGAAAATTGGTTTGTGGATTTGGCTCTATTTGTTGATAGACACGCTTGTCTGTGTACTGAGCATTTTGGGGGTGGACACAGCAACCAGGTGTGTTGTGCGGGAAGCGGGACGCTAGTAGTCCGATTTGCTGCTTTTCGAGGATAAGGTGATTGTCAAAAAGAACGTACCCATTGTCAATAACGAGGGCAGCAACTTCTTCTGCAGACAGTCAAGAAGGGATATTAGCCACTATAGAATTACATAAGAGGCTTCCAGTTGGCTAGAACATGGACAGATGTCAAGTGGGAGGAGAGGAAGGGGGGGGAGGGGGCCGAGATGCTTACCCTCCATTGTGAATTACGAACGATAGCAGTCGAGGATACAGCCTGAGTAGTTGGGACAGATAGGCGGGAAAAAGGAGAGAAGCGGAGAGGGAAAGAAAGGAGAGTTAAAGGAAGCTGTGGCTGTTGATATTAGCGATGAGAAAGAGGGGGGGGGGGCCAAGTGTGTAATGGCGGTAGGAGGACGCGAATGGATGGTGAGGTTGGATGTTGTTGATGGTTGATGTGGATGTGGTGATCGTTGTTGAGGACGAAGTGGAAACTTGGAGAAGCGGAAGCTGAAGAAGAAATTTGCAGGTTGGGAGGCAGAAGGCGGTGGGGGGTGGCAGGAACGCGTATTATTACGGCTGTGCGGGATATATTACAGGATATATCTCTACCTTAGACTGCCAACCTCCAACTTCTGGAAACACTGCCACCTCTTATATAACTACGGCAAAAACACTGTTGCCTTAAGGGACAAGAGATGACAAGAGACGGCAAGATGACCATGACGAATTTCTCTGCGGCACACAAGGTGTAAGCATCTCTTCAGCTATTGCTTTTACTCCATGCCATATACCCGTTCATATCTCCTAAATGGATGGATGTATGTATCGTACCATACGTGTACCGTATCTGCCATGTTGTGTCTTTCATCTACCGCAAGGAATGGCGGGGTCAAAAGTGAAACTTTATGGTACATCTGTCCCCATACAACAGCAGCCTGTTGTGGTTGTACTCGCCAAGTCAATCGGAATACCAATCCTCCAAGGTCAAAAACATTCTTGATACCGCTCACACACTCTCTCTTTCATTCTCACCCAAGAAACACTGATATCTGCCCATTGTCCGGTCCATCAACAACTCCCGCTTTGGAATCTTCTGGTGCAAATCCACAAGGCAACCGCCAAACCTTTTAACACTTTTCTTGCCCGTAACAAGGGGACGCGCGTTGTATGTGTTAAAGGGAGCGAGGAGCGAGAAAAGAGCTCACTGGTCCAAGGAGGTTAATAAAGGGCTCTGGAGATCTGGGAACCTGGGAACCTAATAAGTTGACATCCTTTGAGGGCCTAAGGGGTCACTTTCTAACATACACACAATCTTGTATGCACAGTAGTTATTTAGCTAGTAAAGCGAGGATTTTGGAATGTGGACAACTCTACTCCTCAGTTACATCCCTCCGCCCTGAGGAATCTATTCTCCCTTCCACCGCCTTTTCGAAAGGATGAAAAGCTAGTCAGCTAGCCCCCGATAGAATGTTCAAGAGCTCTTTCAAAATTCAAAAGAAGCATTTATCCGTGTGTTGTTTTACTACACATGTCACATTATGACATGCATAACCACGCATATGCACCTGCACCTGCACCCGCGTCACAATTGCCCATGGAAATCTCATCTCGTAGAGGCCGTCCAAGTCCCAGAAAGCATCCTGCA